GCTTGAACTCCATTCTTGTCAGTGTGTTCTCCTCTGAAAAATATTGCTAATCCTTGAAAAAATAGCACTTATTGGCACCGTTTCCAGGCCGTAACTCAGACAGAATACACGGCGTTACTATGAGCCACCTTTTCTTCTGGAGCGGGTTCCAGTGGAAAACTGGTGCTGGCACAGCAGCATGGGCAACTCAACTCGCCATCGGCACTTTTCTCATGCAGCCTCTGAAATGACTATGGGCTGCAAAGTTTGCTGCTATGGCTCATTTTCTTGTTCTGGCCGACGAAAACTAAGCTGACAAAGTATCCGAAGCTGACATTTTCTGCCTGTAAATTGGCACTCAACCGATATTTTGCATCGTTCTTGTTCCGTTCATTTTCAGCTAAAGGATGAAACACAGACTGTATTCAAACATACCTTCTTGCATATCATGACATTTAGACTGATCTGTTGTTTTTTCACTCTGTTATTTCAATCCCATATTCCTAGCTGAGTAAACGGAGCTCCCGTACTTATTTGTTCATTTCGCGAGCACCGTTCGCGGCGTTAATTACGTTCCCCAAGGAACGTAAAAACGATGTGGCTGTTCGTCACTGATGTCTAGTTCATTTTTTCTACCTGCTTTACGCAGCATTTTTCCGAAATGGGCCATGAAAACCGTGGGCGACAAAATGGCACAACGTCTCATGTGCCTTTTGCAACTTCTACGTGGACAGAAGTGATGAGTAACAGTAATTTGTCAGCTGAATTCCTACTCGCTTCCTCGACCATTTCAGCATCGCTCTCGGCAATGCGTTCTTTCTGTGAAAGTTCTAAGCACAAACATTTAGCAGATGGATGCTATCACATGCTTTCTCAGTGGCAACTAAAAGCGAATAGAGTAGAAGCTGCAGCTCTCCAGTGTTGCTAATTCATACCGCAAATCTCCATACTGACTATTCTGCCGCTCTTCCTTCGGAATTCAGTCTATCCAGTCTTTCTCTCTCTCTCTCTCTCTCTCTCTCTCAATTACTCTCCGCCGAACGATCGTGTTGAGCAGTTAATAATGAAGCCAGAGAAAAGCTCGTAATTACATATCTAATGCAGCAGCAAAACCGTTTTCCATTCATTTTAACTGCCCCAATATTGCTTTCTCAGTCAAGTGGTATCCGCTGTCTCGGAAGAGTGGAAAACTGTTTTGCTGCACCAAAAAGTACTAAAGGACATTTGAGAATTTCCAGTTGATCGATCACTGTGTTTCTTTGCATGTCTACTTCGGGAGATTATCCTTTCCAAACAGCTTTCTTGTAAAATTGCAAGACACATATTTCTTTTTTTTTTTCTTGTGGGCGACTCGAATATGCTGCATGTGTAGAAATGAGCACAGTCTAGGACACACACACACACACACACACATACATTATGGGACATTCTGGGGAACGATTTCAGGAGGATCATTAAAATTCTGAGGGGAGACGAAATCAATTGAGACGTCTGTGCTGGGCTGCAAATATTGCTGAGCCGGGGGCCGGATGCAGTTCCTTGACGCTTTGTTGTGCCCAGCAACAGCAGCTGTTGGCTGGTGTTGCTGCTTGTGCAAAGAAGGCCCTTCGCTCACATTGTGAAGTTGCTGGCCAGGCGCTGCTTACTATTGCTTTGTTTGGAAGTTTGCAGCTTCTGGAGAATAATGCGCCTGCTGGATGATGCTCGTGCTTTAAAAATTGCCACGAGACGCTGTAAATCTGTTTCGTTGCTGCAAATATCTTCATGTCTTTCTTGAAATAGCCATAGCTTTTTTTCGGGAATCACTGGTCCAGCGAGCGCCTCATTTCTGGGCTTCAGCTACATTCATGTAATTTCCATTTTAACTTTCAAATTTATCGCGAAGCCATTTCAGTGGTCTGTTTAGCGCTGTGCATTGTTCCTCTGTTGTTTCCTTTCTCGCCACATCCCACACGTCGCTTTAAACAACACCCGTTCCCTCCGGAATGAAAATGTTTCATGATAAATGTGGTGCAGCAAGCTCATTTCTGCAATATGCAGTTTCACACCTTGTTAAATCACACTGCTAGCTTTTAATTCTCATCAGGCTCTGTATTCTGCGTTTCGCTTCCATGCAACGAAATCAGCGCAACCACGAAGCTGAAACGTGTGGTCCTGAAATGCTGCTAGAAAAGATGTTTTGTGATTTAGTAAA